GCACACAGCTCGGACACCCATGGATACCCCACAAGACATGCCACCAGAGGTCTCTTCACAGTCACCAAGTCCAGAACAGACTATGGGAGGCACACAGTACTACATAAAGCCATTTTTTAATTTTTTTTATTTCACCTTTATTTAACCAGGTAAGCCAGTTGAGAACAAGTTCTCATTTACAACTGCGACCTGGCCAAGATAAAGCAAAGCAGTGCGATAAAAACAACACAGAGTTACATATGGGGTAAAAAAACAAAGTCAAAAATACAACAGAAAATATATATACAGTGTGTGCAAATGTAGCAAGTTATGGAGGTAAGGCAATAAATAGGCTATAGTGCAAAATAATTACAATAGTATTAACACTGGAATGCTAGATGTGCAAGAGATTATGTGCAAATAGAGATACTGGGGTGCAAAAGAGCAAAATAAATAACAATATAGGGATGAGGTAGTTGGGTGGGCTAATTTCAGATGGGCTGTGTACAGGTGCAGTGATCGGTAAGGTGCTCTGACAACTGATGCTTAAAGTTAGTGAGGGAGATAAGAGTCTCCAGCTTCAGAGATTTTTGCAATTCGTTCCAGTCATTGGCAGCAGAGAACTGGAAGGAATGGCGGCCAAAGGAGGTGTTGGCTTTGGGAATGACCAGTGAGATATACCTGCTTGAGCGCAGACTACGGGTGGGTGCTGCTATGGTGACCAATGAGCTAAGATAAGGCGGGGATTTGCCTAGCAGTGATTTATAGATGGCCTGGAGCCAGTGGGTTTGACGACGAACATGTAGTGAGGACCAGCCAACAAGAGCGTACAGGTCACAGTGGTGGGTAGTGTATGGGGCTTTGGAGACAAAACGGATGGCACTGTGATAGACTACATCCAATTTGCTGAGTAGAGTGTTGGAGGCTATTTTGTAAATGACATCGCCGAAGTCAAGGATCGGTAGGATAGTCAGTTTTACGAGGGCATGTTTGGCAGCATGAGTGAAGGAGGCTTTGTTGCGAAATAGGAAGCCGATTCTAGATTTAACTTTGGATTGGAGATTCTTTATGTGAGTCTGGAAGGAGAGTTTACAGTCTAACCAGACACCTAGGTATTTGTAGTTGTCCACATACTCTAGGTCAGACCCGTTGAGACTGGTGATTCTAGTCGGGTGGGCGGGTGCCAGCAGCGTTCGATTGAAAAGCATGCATTTAGTTTTACTAGTGTTTAAGAGCAGTTGGAGGGTACTGAAGGAGTGTTGTATGGCATTGAAGCTCGTTTGGAGGTTTGTTAACACAGTGTCCAATGAAGGGCCAGATGTATACAAAATGGTGTCGTCTGCGTAGAGGTGGATCTGAGAGTCACCAGCAGCAAGAGCGACATCATTGATATACACGGAGAAAAGTGTCGGCCCAAGAATTGAACCCTGTGGCACCCCCATAGAGACTGCCATAGGTCCAGACAACAGGCCCTCCGATTTGACACATTGAACTCTATCTGAGAAGTAGTTGGTGAACCAGGCGAGGCAGTCATTTGAGAAACCAAGGCTATTTAGTCTGCCAATAAGAATGCGGTGGTTGACAGAGTCGAAAGCCTTGGCCAGGTCGATGAAGACGGCTGCACAGTACTGTCTATTATCGATCGCGGTTATAATATCGTTTAGGACCTTGAGCGTGGCTGAAGTGCACCCATGACCAGCTCGGAAACTGGATTGCATAGCGGAGAAGGTACGGTGGTATTCGAAATGGTCGGTGATCTGTTTGTTAACTTGGCTTTCAAATACTTTCGAAAGGCAGGGCAGGATGGATATAGGTCTGTAACAGTTTGAATCTAGAGTGTCACCCCCTTTGAAGAGGGGGATGACCGCGGCAGCTTTCCAATCTCTGGGGATCTCAGACGTTATGAAAGAGAGGTTGAACAGACTAGTAATAGGGGTTGCGACAATTTCGGCAGCTAGTTTTAGAAAGAAAGGGTCCAGATTGTCTAGCCCAGCTGATTTGTAGCGGTCCAGATTTTGCAGCTCTTTCAGAACATCAGCTGTCTGAATTTGTGTGAAGGAGAAGCGGGGGGGGCATGGGCAAGTTGCAGCGGAGGGTGCAGAGTTGGTGGCCGGGGTAGTGGTAGCCAGATGGAAAGCATGGCCAGCCGTAGCAAAATGCATGGAACTCTATTCCACATCAAGTAACTCATGCCAGCAGTAAAATTTTGATTAAAAAAAAAAAAAAGATTAAAATACCTTTGGAACAGCGGTGACTGTGAAGCAACACAAACATACAAACACACGATAACATACGCAATATACACACATGTACACATGGATTTTCTGTTATAGATATGTGGTAGTAGATTAGAGGCCTGAGGGGGCACACTTAATATGTTGTGAAATCAGTTATGAATGTATTGTAGTGTTTTTTTTTTTTTTTATGTTTAACTGCATTAATTTTACCAGACCCCAGGAAGAGTAGCTGCTGCCTTGGCAGGAACTACTGGGGAGCCATAATGAATACAAATACAAAACAAATTAGCCTAAAAAAATGTGGCGTCAGTCATAACGCAGTCATTTAAGATCTATATTAAAATGTAATTGAATTTACTTTCAACATAGTTGACGGCCAAGAAGAAGCAAAAAGCCAAAGTTACAACCATTTCATGTGAACTACAAACATGAACTACAACTCCCACCAGGTGTATACAGTGCATTCGTAAAGTATTCAGACCCCTTCAATTTTTCCACATTTTGTTACGTTACAGCTTTATTCTAAAATGTAAATGTTTTTCCTCATCAATCTAACCACAATACCCCATAATGACAAAGCGAAAACAGGTTTTTAGATTTTTTTGCAAATGTATTTAAAAATAAAAACCTTATTTACATAAGTATTCAGACCATTTGCTATGAGTACTGGCTGGCAACGTTCAGTTCAAAATCACACACGGCAATCTAATATAAAACGGCCTGTAACTAACGGGTTTTTACCATCCTGTAGGTCCTCAGCTTGAGCAGGCAAGCTCCAGCATGCTAGCAACGCTGCAGGAAATGTAGTCTAATTAGACTTAATTCTTGAGCGTCAAATATTTGGATAAAAGGCATTGGGTAAATCAATACACTAATACTAATGTAATTGTATTTAGATATATATTTTAAATTACCTTATTTTCATGAATTTGATGCTATATTCTTGAAGCCCATTCAAAAGACCCGGGACATGACCCTGGAAGAATGACATAGAAGGACGTCACTTGCACATCGTATTGAGTGAACACTGGTCAATCAGTGCTATTGATACAATTAAGTTCCACGGAGAAGAGGAAGTCAGCAAACAGCGGCTGAAGGATTTAGGACACCAGGGGTGCATCTCAATAATTTAAAGTGTCTGATCTTGTGTCCTCTCCTTCATCCTCAGTAACCAGGTTTCCATCCAACCTTTTTATGCGAATACATGTCGGATACAAAATGTCACGACAGGCCTGATGGAAACAGCAAATTTGACTTTCCAAAATGTCGACAAAACAAAATACACCAGACAAGGTGAGGTCTTTTTGTGTCTGTAAAATGTAGTATGCGGTAAGTGGCGGTGGAAATGCATTTATGCGCAAATATTTATATAATACCCATCATATCGAAGTAAACTTGGAGTCACTAGATATGTTGTGGTCCTACCACTACGACTCGGGAAAGCATGCAGTTTATTAAGCTACAGACTAAATAAGTTAAGGTGGTGAAAGTGCACAGTGATGAGCTTGATGCTCCTTTCCAATAAATATTGAGGGTCTTATGCCACGTGCACATAGGTTAATGCCGTGCGGTACATTTTACGTAGTCTTCACAATCCATGCGCTGCATCACAACAACAAGAATCGCGCTACAAATTAGAAACTACTTCTATGGTTTACAACTGGTACCACACGGCAAAAAACACAACGCGTGCGACGCAGTGCCACGCGCCGCAAGCTAGTCCGGCAGATGAGTCGCAGCGGTGCGGATTGCCTCCCAATGAAATGAATGGACTTCTGCCGGAACGCATACAGTTTGACGCAACCGCATTATTCTGGTGACATGACGAATAAAAAAAATCATCTTGCTCTTTTGTCCTTAATAATCTCATAATTTAGGTAGCCTAGCCATACTGTATATGCAAGCTGTTGGCTAGAGCGCAGTGGGCGCTATACCATCAGTACAGTTTAAAATGCGATGGAAACCAATTTAACTTGTGACTTTTTCTTCGGTACATTGGAATTTAACCGCAAAGTTATTTTTATGTGCACTATGTCATCCATCACACACAGCTTTTTATCCACAAGTCAATTTGATGAAAACTCATCTCTGGTGGGAAAATGCGCATATTATTTTTATGCAGATTTTAGAACATTCGCATGAAAATCTGTCGCAGTTTGAAGGAAATCTAGCTACTGATCTGTAAAGACAACTGAAAAGTGATATGCATGAATTTCGGGCACCTGTTCAGTTTTTCCAGGTTAGTGGAGATGAGGAAAAGAAACCACAATAGACTGAGATGCACTCTTGGATTAATGTATTGCTATGATGAATTCAATGGGTTTCGTATTCTGAGGGAACATGTCATCTCTTGCACAACCAATGGGTAACATTATCTGGATGAAGCAAGAATAGGGGGATCATGGCGTTAGTGAGCAAGGAAATGGGTATTTGTTCACCTGGTACACAATTTGTTGGAGTTTGTTTCTGTATACTTTCCTGCAGAGTGCAGCTGCAGGAAAGATTGTCTTGCGTCACAGACTTGAGAGGTGTTTGTTTGCTACCTCAAGGTTAGCTGACATTCAGGCCATAGAGCTGTCTGTGTGGGAGTTTAGTGGTGGGATGTGACCACTATTGTTTAGCGTGTGGGTGGCTGGAGGAGTGAGAGCGGGAAGACTCATGTACAATGAGTATATGGCAATTATAAAACCAGCATTCAGAGTGCTACTTTTTATTTAGTGTAATTTGCATAGCAGGCACGTCTCATTCGATTCCAGACAACAGAAAAGTGAGTGTCTTTGTGTAATGCTGCCTGGTACGCGAGAAGAAGGGGGTGTACTATTTATTCCTAAGTTCTCCATTGTCTTGTCGGGGGTAAATTAATTCATAAAGAGATTCTTGCTGGGTTACATGTGTCCAAGTTCTGTAATGTGCCAAAGTGCTACTGTGCATAGTACAGTGGGGAAAAAAAGTATTTAGTCAGCCACCAATTGTGCAAGTTCTCCCACTTAAAAAGATGAGAGGCCTGTAGTTTTCATCAAAGGTACACGTCAACTATGACAGACAAATTGAGAAATATTTTTCCAGAAAATCACATTGTAGGATTTTTAATGAATTGATTTGCAAATTATGGTGGAAAATAAGTATTTGGTCACCTACAAACAAGCAAGATTTCTGGCTCTCACAGACCTGTAACTTCTTCTTTAAGAGGCTCCTCTGTCCTCCACTCGTTACCTGTATTAATGGCACCTGTTTGAACTTGTTATCAGCATAAAAGACACCTGTCCACAACCTCAAACAGTCACACTCCAAACTCCACTATGGCCAAGACCAAAGAGCTGTCAAAGGACACCAGAAACAAAATTGTAGACCTGCACCAGGCTGGGAAGACTGAATCTGCAATAGGTAAGCAGCTTGGTTTGAAGAAATCAACTGTGGGAGCAATTATTATGAAATGGAAGACATACAAGACCACTGATAATCTCCCTCGATCTGGGGCTCCACGCAAGATCTCACCCCGTGGGGTCAAAATGATCACAAGAACGGTGAGCAAAAATCCCAGAACCACACGGGGGGACCTAGTGAATGACCTGCAGAGAGCTGGGACCAAAGTAACAAAGCCTACCATCAGTAACACACTACGCCGCCAGGGACTCAAATCCTGCAGTGCCAGACGTGTCCCCCTGCTTAAGCCAGTACATGTCCAGGCCCGTCTGAAGTTTGCTAGAGTGCATTTGGATGATCCAGAAGAGGATTGGGAGAATGTCATATGGTCAGATGAAACCAAAATAGAACTTTTTGGTAAAAACTCAACTCGTCGTGTTTGGAGGACAAAGAATGCTGAGTTGCATCCAAAGAACACCATACCTACTGTGAAGCATGGGGGTGGAAACATGCTTTGGGGCTGTTTTTCTGCAAAGGGACCAGGACGACTGATCCGTGTAAAGGAAAGAATGAATGGGGCCATGTATCGTGAGATTTTGAGTGAAAACCTCCTTCCATCAGCAAGGGCATTGAAGATGAAACGTGGCTGGGTCTTTCAGCATGACAATGATCCCAAACACACCGCCCGGGCAACGAAGGAGTGGCTTCGTAAGAAGCATTTCAAGGTCCTGGAGTGGCCTAGCCAGTCTCCAGATCTCAACCCAATAGAAAATCTTTGGAGGGAGTTGAAAGTCCGTGTTGCCCAGCGACAGCCCCAAAACATCACTGCTCTAGAGGAGATCTGCATGGAGGAATGGGCCAAAATACCAGCAACAGTGTGTGAAAACCTTGTGAAGACTTATAGAAAACATTTGACCTGTGTCATTGCCAACAAAGGGTATATAACAAAGTATTGAGAAACTTTTGTTATTGACCAAATACTTATTTTCCACCATAAATTGCAAATAAATTCATTAAAAATCCTACAATGTGATTTTCTGGAGAGAAAAAAAGCTCTTTGTCTGTCATAGTTGACGTGTACCTATGATGAAAATTACAGGCCTCTCATCTTTTTAAGTGGGAGAACTTGCACAATTGGTGGCTGACTAAATACTTTTTTCCCCCACTGTATGTGTCCTGTCTGTATCAAGCTGTGTCTTTGCCCAAGATGTGTATGCATCTAGTCTGCCTCTGTTCTGTCCCAAGCTGATGGAGTGACGGTTCCCTCTATCTCCTCCCTCAGTTCCATTGCATCAACAGCACAGCTGCCGGAGTTGCAGCCGCAGCTGGCTTTACAGAAATCTGTCTCCAATCTCCAGAAGACCACACCGGTAGCCAGTCAGGAGGTGGGTTTGGCCACTTACTTATTATCTTCTACATCTTGCGGTTTCACATTGTATTGTCATTTATTTTTATTGGAATTGTGTTTTTCATGTTTAATACAAATTCCTTTGTTTCCACAGAGCACAAACACAGGTGGACCAAAGCAATGGGCCCATCTAAATGGAAAGGCCGTAGAACTAGATGGTGAGTTGGAATGGGAAACCCAACTGCTTAAAATCACTAAGTGTCTATGGTCAACATTGATGGATTTGCTATCAGACGTCTGACATGCCCAATTTACTGCATGTCTCTACCACACCGCATATAATGATTCTCCAGCAGCCTCTGTTTCTTGTGTTTTTTTTTTTACTGCTCTGACTGACAGCTGTGCGTCTTGTTTCCATGGCGATGGCAGGTTTAAGGGCCTCAAACCGACTGCAGCCCTTCTCTCACGAGGAATTTCCAACGCTGAAGGCTGCTGGGGAACAGGACAAGGCTGGCAAGGAAAGAAGCGCCTTCGATCTGTCGTATGGGCCCGGACCAAGCCTCCGCCCCCAGAGTGAGTCCAGTGAACAATGGCTGTGGTGGCACAAACATTGACTGAAATTCAAAAGCGGCCCACATGATTTGATGTTATGAATAGTGTAGCAGCCTCGCAGCATAGTTGCTAATAATTTGACAGGTGCCATGGGAAAATATTGTGCACATACTTTAAAACAACTGAATACACTGCAATTTCACCTCTTAACTCTTAAGCCACGGGCTTGTTTTCTCAAATCCGTTTTCCTCCTGTCTCTCCAGATGTGACGAGTTGGAGGGAGGGTGGTGGGAGGAACCTTGTGCCCTCATCCCTGCCGGCCGGCCTGCCCTCCGAGACCGAGGGCAAGGCCAGCAGCGTGGCTGAGACTGGGAGCTCCCCCCCTCCTCTTCCCCCCTCTGCCGCCTCCTCTATCCTCTCTGCCCCCATGGTCAGTCCCACCACTGCCACCATTGTCAGCGCCCCTCCAGCCCCGGAGCCCAAGGAGATCTCCCTGCGCCCCGCCCAGCCCCTCCGCAGGCCCGTCCCCCCTGCCCTGAACCATCACCAGCTCCACCACCCTACCACCAGCACCACCTACCACGACATGCTACCTGCCTTTGTATGTAGCACAGTACTACTCTCCATTTATTTTCACTTTATGACACCTTAATGCAAGATTCTGTTCTGACTGTATGCTTTTTGGCCATTGGTTTTCAGATGTGCCCCAAAGAGACTTGTAATGCTCCCGGCACTGCTGAACACACTGGCCCTGTCACTGTGGTCGCCCCAGTCCGCTTTGACAACAGGCCCACCTTCAGGCAGCCCTACCCCAACAACAACCAAGAGCCTGTCAAGTAAGTAGTCACCTGCATATGCCCACTGTCTGGAAGTGTGAGAGATGCTTAGTTAATGCTGGGAATTATTTATTTTACTTAGCAAAAAAGATAATTGTGGACCTCTCACCTCCCCATGTTCCTATTCTCCTTGTAGCGGCGAGGTGGGGAGAGGAGAAAAACCGCTTCATCCGCGGGCCCCCGCGCAACCCCTCCTCCCGACCCATCCGTCGACCCGGCGACAGACCCCCTCGTCCGGCCATCATCAACCCAGAGGACTTGAAGGATCTGGATGAGCTGGACAACGACTGTGAAGACGGCTGGGCAGGTGGGGGGGCTTTCTGTAATCGTCATCATACAAAGACTGAATCAAATTACACCAAAGGCAAAATTTCTGTACATGTGCCCCAATGGAACTAGATTGACCTTGATTAAAATGTTGCTCCCTTGCTGTTCCAGGTATCCATGAAGAAGTCGATTACGGCGAGAAACTCAAGTTCAGTGATGATGAGGAGGAGCACGCCGCTGGTGAAAAGAACAAGATGTGGTGAGATTAACCCCACCCCCTTTGTTAGTGACTAAATAGAATATTGTCAGTGCAATTTCTGTAGTTTTAAGCGCAGTGACTGATTGTGAGCATTTCTGTGTCCATCTCTGACCCAGGGCTGAATGGGAGAACCAACGTCGCGAGCGCCAGTTGTCCCTGAGCTCAGGAGAGGGGCCATACCCCCAGGATGGCCCTGAGGAGGAGGCCTACCAGGAGCAGATGGCCCACAGGAACACCAATGGCAGGTTCCCCTCTGGAGAAGCACAGGTAAGATCATGCCGGGGTCCACTATGCCTCAGACTGCTACCTTGCCTGGTCCCCCTAGCCTATTCAATGCCAAGTTTTGAGTAGAGTAGAGAGAGAGCGAGAGAGAGAGAGAGATGGTAGAGGTCACAGTAAGATGAACTAAAGTTCAGGCCTTTAAGCATACAGCATATATACTGTACACCTGTAGCTCAGAGAAGACTAGTCATGAGTCCATTGAGCACAGAACCCAAATCATGGAGAGTCCTTCCCCTGGTCCCATGATAACACCCTGTGCCGTCTCCAGGCCCAGCAGAAGAGCTCCGGGTCGGGCATGGCCCAACAGGGCGAGCCCCTGGAAGACCAGGAGGAGCGCCAGACCCAGGGCCCAGCCCGGGCCAAGTTTGTGTCACCTGAGCTCTCGGAGGCTGTGGAGAGAGCTCGCCGGCGCAGGGAGGAGGAGGAGAGACGTGCCCGCGAGGAAAGACTGGCCGCATGCGCCGAGAAGCTCAAGAGGCTAGACGAGAAGTTTGGGAAGACTGAGAGGCAGTTGTCGAGGTCTGAGGAGGAAGCAAAGGACGAGGAGAACAAGGAGGCAGCGCTGTCCCCTGGAAGAGAGAGCAAAAACCACCCAGAGAGCTGGCAGTACGGCATGAAAGGTAACACCAAACCGCTATTACTGTTTTGTTTAATAAACATTTATCCAGGTTGGTCAGTTGAGAAAATACTAATTTGCAATTGCAACAATGACCTTCTCAGTCATATAGTGTTCATTTATTGTTGAAATTGAGGATTTTACTGAATGCCTTTTATTGAACGACATGTAGGAAACAGAGGTAGCTATGTAAAAGTAGGATTATATCCCTCTCCCTCTCCTGTCCTGTCTCAGACGCTGAGTGTCCCTTGGAGCACTCCCCTGGACAGCAGGACTACAGGGACGAGGCCACCTCGGGCTTCGCCTCCTACCGCAGCGAGGACGATGCCGGGGCCGAACCAAACTCTCCCCTACCCGACTACGCCCACCACCAGGCCCCCAAGCCCCTCCCGCCCCGCTTCCAAAAGCAGCACCAGCAGCAGGTGAGCCACCCGGCTGACGCCATCCGACGCCTTCCAAACAGCCCCTTCCCTAATCCCCCTCCCTAATTCCTGGCGGGATTAGTGCCCAGCGGCACTAGAAAGGCCCATCAGAGTTCACATGAGCAGGTGTTTTCCATAGCGATCGTCGCCACCTCCCTGGCTGGAAAGGGGAGGGTATTATGAAGGGTGTGCTTGTTGTGTCGTTTTCTATTTAGTTCAGTGGTGGATACGTAGCAATAGGATACGCAACAAAACAGGAATAAAAGACTCACTGCTTATAGTGCACTTCCAAAAGCGTCTTTAAATGCAACTAGTGACTTTTGTTTTTTTATTTGAGGTGAATAATTGTACCAGTGTGTATACTCAATGGGTTTCTGCTCTGTGTCCCTCCCACTCTCAGGAGCAAGTGTATAAGATGCAGCACTGGCAACAGCAGTCTGGCCACCCTGCCCCCTCCGGCTCCAGCCACCCCCAGAGGGGCTACTACCCCCCACACGTGCTGGGCTTCGACCCCCGCTGGATGATGATGCCCCCCTTCATGGACCCCCGCATGGCCCAGGGCCGCGCCCCTGTGGACTACTACCCTAACACTGTCCACTCTTCAGGTTAGGCCTGAGAAAATAGTATTGTTGTACTAAAGCAGGGTTTCCCAACTCTCTCCTTAGCCCCCCCCCCCCCCCCCCCAGATGTTTCACATGTTTGTTTTAACCCTTAACTGTTTGCCTGATTCAATTAGTCAACTAATCGTTAAACTTTTGACTAATTGCATCAGGTGTGCCAGTTTAGGGTTAAAACAAAAATGTGAAACGTTTCGGGAGGCCTCAGGAGAGGGTTGGGAAACCCTGTACTAAAGGGAATGGTAAGGGGATCCCTTTAAAAGGAACAAAGTTGATTTTATTTCCTATCTTTTTAGTGTGACATCATTGTCAAACTTTATAGACTGATATAGATTCCTAAACAATCCTGTATCCGTATCATCTCTTACTGTAAAATACACTCTGTTTTTGTGTGTAGGAATTATGAAACCGCTGATGCAGCCAGACCACCTGAACAGCCCAGGGTCCGCCTCTGACGAGGGCTGCCATCCCAGCATGCATCAGGAAAGGAGGGCCCCCTCCACCGAGCCCTACCCTGTGTGGAACCAAGATGGCTACCCCCCTCGCAGTTTCACCCCACCCTACCAGAGACTGCACGAGAGCTCAAACAGGAGCCAGCCAGATGACCGGATTGACAGGACCTGCTCCCAGCAGGACTCGTACGAAGAGAGGGGAAACGAGTGCCTAGACAACCCCTCTGACGACCTCTCCCATCCGGCCTACCACCAGAGCAGAGGCCCTGACAGGGACCACCACTCGCACAACCAAGGCCTGCTCTCCACAGCCCCGAGCCGGCCCCAGCAGCAGCACGCAGACAGCGACTACCCCAAACAGGAGCCCAGAGACGGGCACCTGAAGGACAGCACTGACCCCCACGACGATATCTTTGACACCTCCAAGGAAAAGGGCTTTGACTCAGACTTCTGGAGGCGAGATGGAGGCCAGAAGAAGGAAGGTGGTGTTGGTGTTCAGAACCAGTGGGCTGATCCTGTCTCCACCTCCTCCGCCAGCATTGTAAGCCAGCCGTCTGAGACCGGCGGTAGGACCCTGACCCGCAGGACCGGCCCCATTAAAAAGCCTGTGCTCAAGGCCCTCAAAGTGGAAGACAAGGAGAACGAGAAGCCCAAAGTGGAGCCTGAGGAGAAGGTAGTCCCTTACCGCCTGGAGAAGGAGGTGCTCACCAACGTATATGACCTGAAGAAAGACAACCAGCCCCTAGTAAGTAACAGACGCTCGGCCTCGCCTGCTATCGAGAAGCAGCCAGAAGAGAAGCAACACCAACCACAAGCACCTGCTAAAGTAGAGCGGCCATCCAGTCCCCATAGTGAGGATTTGCCCAAGGAGAGCAGCTGGGACAGCGGGAAGAGCCAGTCCTCTAGAGATGACCAGGAGAGCAGGGAGCCTGCCGCACCACGACGCAACAACTGGATCTTCATCGATGAGGAGCAGGCCTTTGCCGGAGCCAGGGGAACGGGTAGAGGTCGAAGCCGTGGAGGCTTCAGGGAGTTCAGCTCCAGAGGAGACCGCGGTGGCCGGGGAGGCCGGGGCGGAGAGAACCCCAGAGGAGGCTACAACAATAACAATAGCAGGGACGCCGTTGGAGCTCAGAGACCAGGCAGAGGACTGCCCAGGGACTTTAAGGTGGAGGACCTGCAGCGGGGGAAGCCGAGGAGGCGCAACGTCAGCGAGACTCTGAGCGAGACCTCAGAGTACGAGGAGCTGCCCAAGCGGCGGCGCCAGAAGGGCTCTGAAAACGGAGAGGGTGGCAGCTACCCAGAGCAGGGAGAGATCAGGATTGCCGACAGAGACTCGTGGAGGTCGAACAAGGTGTACACGGAAGACCAGGCGGCTAGCGACACCCGAGACAAAGCCAAGGCCAGCAGCAGGGGGTTCGGAGGCGGCGGCCGCTCGCTGCCTCCCAGACTCGACGCTGGCAGGGGCTACAACACCGGCCGGGGGTTCAACAACAGCTCCAGAGACACCTCCACCTGGAGGGGCCGGGGGACCCAGTTCGGCAGCGGCGGGGGGCCCATGCAGGAGAACGGCTATGGCCCGGGCACCGAGACCTTCTCCAGGAGACCACCACCACCTGCGGAGCGCGAGCCTCTCAAATACACCCCCAAGTTTACCGGCTCTACCGGTTCCTTCATGGAGAATGGCACAGAGGACCGGTGCGTGGAGGGTGAGTACTACATAGACAACGACAACCCTGGACAACAGCCGTTGAGAAGACGGCGGCCGCCACGTCAGGACAAACCCCCGCGCTTCCGCCGATTACGTCAAGAGAGGGAGCCCGGCAGTGGCCAGTGGACCAGCGACGAGTACATCAATGGATCGGACGGATTCGCCAACCCCTGGCCGGGCCGCTCAAAGGAGGGAGGTAGAGAGGACGGCTGGCCCAGTGGCCACTACTCCGGAGGGGGAGGTAGGTCCGGTGGTCAGCACGGCCAGGCTGAGGACTGGGAGACTGGCTCGGAGAACAGCGACTTCAACGACTGGAGGGAGAAGCGAGGTGGAGGGCAGCAGCAGCAAGCCCATGGGGGAGATGTGCACTCAGACTCTGGCCACGGGGAGCTTGGCTCTGTGGAGAAGAGGGAGCTGGCCAAGAGGAGCTTCTCCAGCCAGCGCCCCCTGGTGGACCGGCAGAACAGGAAGGGAGAGCCGGCCCTACTGGAAGGGAACAAGATGACACGTTCCTCAGAGAACCCCAACGCACCGCCCTCCTGCAACAGGAACGACGGCTGGCAGAACGGAGGGGCCTCCAACCATAGGAGGTGAGTACTGTGCTAACTTTGGCCTACGCTAACTTGGTGTGAGAACATTCAACAAAACTGTGGATATTGTTTTTTTCTTGACTTGTTTCAAAACATCCTCTGTAGCTTTTAAAAACAACACTTAGCAACACTTTTGCATAGTAATACCCTTTAATGGTAACACCTGACTCATGGAATGTCTCTCCCTTCTTCCTGCAGGAACAAAGAGGAGTCAGGCCTAGTCTACTGTGTCGAGCAGTCTGAGGAGGGACACCAGCCCAACGAACCCTCAGGGAAGAAGCTGGACAAGGAGCTGAAGACTCGGTCTGTGAAGGGAGACCTGGCCGAACCATTGTCTCTGTACGACCTCAACAGCTACCACAGTGAGTATGCCAGGCACCAACCTCATAGTAAAGCATGGCTCAAATGTAACCAGGGTTCTCAAACTGGTGGCCCGTGGACCAGATGAGGCCCACAGACTGATTTAATGTGGTCCACTGTTGTCTTTGTAAATTGCATTTTCATATTGGCTATCACAGTGTGTTGTAATGGCGTAAATGTTTGTCTTCCAGTTGAGGGGGATGCTGGGGGTTCCAGTCCAGACGGGTTCCAGGACCTGTCCAAGAAACAGCAGCGTCGTCTTCCACAGGAAGACGACAGGAGGAGGAAGGAACATGGAGCTCCGGTAAGTTACAGAACATTAAAATAAGCCTGAAACACAAATAATGGGCACAAGGGCTTTGGGTGTCTAGAGAATAGACCCTGTATTGAGTAAAATCTAAATAATTTCAAATGGATTAACCTCTACGGGATCGGTGTCCCGTATATGGGATGGTTGAGCTAACGTGCGCTAATGTGATTAGCATGACTGTTGTAAGTAACAGCTAACTTTCCAGGACATAGACAGTTCTTATATGGCAGAAAGTTTAAATTATTGTTAATCTAACTGCACTGTCCAATTTACAGTAGCTATTACAGTGAAAAAATACCATGCTATTGTTTGAGGAGAGTGCCCAACAACAAAAAACGTATTTCGGCAACTGATACGGCAACCTCTGAAGGTAAATAATGTACTTACATTCAGTAATCTTGCTCTGATTTGTCATCCTAAGGGTCCCAGAGATAAAATGTAGCATAGTTTTGTTTGATAAAAATCAATTTTTATATTCAAATGTAGGAACTGGGTTCTACAGTTTGAACCCCTGCTGTCTCTGGCTCCACACCCGCCCAGCCATCTAGATGTGTGAAAGTTAGTGTATAAGCAATAATCCATCATTTATGACAATCCTGGGAGTGTGTAAACTTACATTTTGTATTACCATATCATTTTTGTATGTGCTCTATAGTTGTGTACTTGAAAATGTATCAATTGACCAATTCGGCACATTTGGGCAGACTTGATACAAGATAGTCCATTATTGCAACGCTTCACTGGATCAATCTGAAACTTTGCACACACACTGCTGTCATCTAGTGGCCAGAATGTAAATTGCGCCTAAACTGCAATATTATATTGTGGCCTTTCTCTTGCATTTCAAAAAAGATAAAAAAAATAAAAACACTTTTTTGTTTGTTTGTATATCTATTACCAGATCTAATGTGTTATATTCTCTTACATTTAATTTCACATTTCCACAAACTTCAGGTCCTGAGCTACAGGTAGTTAGATTTGGGTATGTCATTTTAGGCGAACATTTTAAAAGGGGTCCGATCCTTAAGAGGTTAATGCAAGCAGCAATACTTTTACTAAATGTTTTTCCAGAAATATCTAAATCTTATATGTTAAGTATAGTTGTACATAACTTGAGCTGCTGTGTTGTACTTCATCTATGAAAAATTGTCTTCCTCTGCCTCACACTCCAGGTGCCATTGAAGAACAGACCGATCACCTCCAAGATGCCCCCACGGTTTGCCAAGAAGCAGGGAGGCATGACCATGGATCAGGCAGAGGAGGGCCTCTCTGCCAACAACCTGGGCACTGAGATTTGGGAGACCAACAGCTCAGGTAGGAGCAACACCCCAGCGCTCATAATTCATCTTCCACCCAATCTGATAACTGAGAGTAACTCACTCTGTTGCCCATACTCTGCTCTTCTTTCCAGATGAACATTATTTTGTTGTCAACTGTATTAAAGATAATCTTAGACTCCAGTGGTTCTTACATTGTTCTTTTCAAACCCTCAGCTCTGTCAGTCCAGTCATCTGGAGGAGACTCGTGGACCAAGCAGGTGTCCTATACAGGCAGCGAGCCTAACTCTGAGGACTCTGATGCTGGGCCTGAGCAGAGCAAGGAGCAGCACAAGCCCGGCCCCATCGGCAACGAGCGCTCGCTCAAGCACCGCAAAGGCTCGGAGGGTCTGGAGGGCGGGCCCATTACGCCCGTCAACGGCGTGAATCTCCACGTGGACACAGTGCTGCCCGTGCCGCCCATAGAGTTTGGCGTCAGCGCCAAGGACTCTGACTTCAGCCTACCGGCCAGGTCCACCCCAGTGCCTGTGTCCAACCCCGTCACCAAGCTGCAGGACATCAACGTGAGTACAAATACACTGAGTACTACACGATTTCCATTGTCACCTCATGATTATAAGGTGGGGTGTTAAAAGGAATCCTTGAAATTGCTTCACCTAGAAGTGGATTGATTTAAATAAATATAAATGAGATGTAAAATGGACAAAAGATGTCATTGACTAGTTGTGTTAATAACCTGTGTGTCTGTCTGTAGCCGGCCCTGACCCAGGCCATCCCCATGCTGTGTAGAGACCACCTGCAGCCTGGCATCAACCTCAACCCCATCTCTTTCCCCAGCGCTGACCTCACACTCAAGGTACACTATCCCCACCCCACTACCTCTCACTCTCCACCAATCAGACACCTCTAAACATTAGTCTTGTTAAAGAGATTTAATTCTCAATAACCTACCTGGCTAAATAAAGGTAAGGTTAGTAAACACCAAAACGTTTTTTTGTGTACTTTCACTAAACATTTCCTTCCCTTCATCCCCTCTTCCTCAGATGGAGTCGGCCCGTAAGGCGTGGGAGAACTCCCAGTCTCTCCCTGAGCAGGGCTCTCCTGTTGGGGGTGCTGTTGGGGCCCAGCCCCCCTGCAGCGTGGGCTCCTCCAGTGGGGTCAGCTACAGCTCCTTCGGAGGGGTGTCCATGCCCCCCATGCCTGTGGCCTCCGTGGCGCCTTCCATGTCCATGCAGGGTAAGGGGACACTCAGACACATTAACATTGACATTATTGGTATATTTGGCCAAGGACTATGCATTGTATGAGTGTACATTGTATGAAATGTACATCTGTGTGTTTTAAATAACAGAATTGTATTTCCTTCTGTAGGTAACCATATCCCCCCGCTGTATCTGGACGGCCATGTCTTTCCCAGCCAGCCTCGTCTGGTGCCCCCAACCATGACCCAGCAACAGAGCTACCAACAGGTATTACACTCACAAGTATAGGGTCTTACAGGATTGTATTCCATAATTTCTCTTCTTAAAAAACCCACATTTATTTGGGTTTTTCTTTTTGGCAATAATCAACAAAACTACACCATGTGCAGCGGAACACTAACTGTAATATTATAATTCAAACCTTCCTGTGTGTGCACGCAGGCGGCTGCCCAGCAGATCCCCATCTCCCTGCACACCTCTCTGCAGGCCCAGGCCCAGCTTGGTCTCCGGGGGGGCCTGCCTGTCTCACAGTCCCAGGAGATGTTCAACTCCATCCCCCCCTTCAGGTCCCAGGTGTACATGCACCCCAATCTGTCCCAGCCCAGCCCCATGGTGCTGTCAGGTGGTGGCCCCCTCAAGGGGCCCTACTCGGCCTTCCCAGGCATGCAGCCGTCGGATATGGTCAAGCCCCAGTCGGGCTCCCACTACCAGCCAATGAATGGTAGCCAGGCCATGGTCTACGATGGCCAGATGAACCAGGGCCCTGGCATGGGCTCCTCCCAGCTCATGGACTCCCAGCTCATCCAGGTAAGAGGAGCCACTCTCAGTGGCACACTTGTGTTAGTTTGAAGGAAAACTGTTAATTTGGCTTTTAATGGAAACTTACTCTCGTAATTCAATGTTTCAAAGTCCAATGCATTGATCATCTCTCGCTCTCTCCAGGTGACCATGCCCTTGCCGGGCTCCCAGCTGCGTTATGGCTCTGCCCAGCAGCACCTCATCCTGCCCCAGTCCATCCAGCTCCAGCAGGGCCAGAACCTCTCTGTGGGAGCCGCCCGCAGGATGCTCCCCCCTGGCTCCCAGCCCCCCGTCATGACCGGCAGCAGAGAGGTGAGCGCCACAGACCCACCAAGTGTCCCTTCCAACAATGTTACAGCCCAACTACCTTAATGATTGGTCAATGTTAGCTTTAGGTTGGATTTGGAAACATTTCATGCATAAACAAAAACTAAATCTCATTGAATGAAGTGAAACCCATCCCTTTGAAATAGAAGGGATAGTTCACCTAAATTACAAAGTTACTTGAATGTTTTCGCAGAATTTCCCAATGTCTACTGGCCCGTATACTACTTACAAGGTAAGGATAAATGTGTGAGTGAATTTGTCATTTGGGTGAACTATCACTTTAATGCCACAACATTTCATAGATTGCATTGAGATGTCCTTACATGTATATTTAATGTTTGTTTGTTTGTTGTCCTCTAGACCTCCCAGATGGAAATGAAAGGCTTTCAGTTCCCTGACAAGCCCAATCACTCCCAGGGCATGCCCGGAGGATACAACAGGTGAGCTGGAACAGCTAAATGTCACCCTGAAACTGTTAGACCGCAACATGTCTACTCTTAGTTTTTATCCTTATAAACACGTGTTCATGTTATTGTAACATGGCAAAGGATTCTACATGGTTCGCTGCCAGTAACATTTAGTTAATTTAAGAAACATTTAGTGATCATATAATGGTATTAAATAGATGTTATTGAAAGCTAATGGTAAATCTATCTCTGTCCCTCTCTCCCCTCAGACCAGGGTCTGCCAGCCCCAGTGGGAAGCCGTCTGGCCCCGTGCCTGGACATTACACCCAGCAGGTATGACCCAACACAGTCATACACACATTAGGTACATACACACACCTTGGTAGTACTAGTTATTGCTCACACTCTACAATCAACAACCAAGGTCAACCAACAATCAAGGTCCTCCAGAGCACTTCACACACACTTTCATATGAACAAACACAATTTTTCAGGCTCTGCACACTGCTCTTACACTAGCAGGCACGACACACACACAAACGGTCATGACTCACACAATCCCAGCTGCCTATACACACACACTCATATAGCCTCCCCCTCCCATTTCATTGGAAACAGAAGACGACCTCCATGCAGGCTGTTCAGCAGCGAGGCTGGGCCTGCAGTGGCCCTGGCCTGACCTGTAGTTGCTGCTACAGAGACCCAGCCACCGGCTGGTTTGAGGCCCCGCTGTGCCCCCTCCACGGCAAGGTTATAGAAACCTCACACTCAATCATTCTGCTTGTTCAAATCACTGTGATGTTGTTGCACCATTTTAAATGACTGATCAGTTTTGTCATGCAGCTACCTTGAACTGCTCTCACACAATGGCAAAATGGCCACTCAAGACCTTAGTGTACTTTTGAGTCACGAGCATAAAGCAATTTATTTGCGGCCTTGCACACGTCTCCGCTACCCCCCCAAGGTTTGCCTAAAGAAAGATAACCATGCAGATATACTGAGCCATGTTGCCATACTAACAGTGTGTATTTCCCTCCCTTCCTCCTCCCCCTCCAGGTCCCCCCTCCTCAGGGCAGCATGGTTATGCACATGCGTCCCCCCACCACCGGCCCTTTCCCCACCCCCATCCAGAGACCTGTCATGCAGGTCAACAAGACCGTCATCATCCGCTCCCCCCCTTACCCCAACTCCGGGCGCGAGCCCCCACACTCCACACCCCCCTTGGCCCCCGAGCCCCCCGTCAAGGGGCCGGAGGATGGCATGAAGGTGAGCCACCCACTGTAAATACAGGTAATTAGATTTTATTCTATTTTGTTTTTTGTTTTTCTTCAATCTAATGTGCAAATTAGACCATTTTAAAAACATGAATGTTTTAACTCTATTTCCCTCGATATGGCCTAAAAATCATATCAAAAAATATATATATACTTTATGGGCGATTCACGGTATATATCGATTTTTTTCTCTCTAAATAAGCTAAAGGTCAATACACTTCATTTCAAACAGTCGGCAATAATTACATTTACATCATTTAGCAGACGCTCTTATCCAGAGCAACTTACATATTGGTGCATTCAACTTATGATAGCCAGTGGGACAACCACCTTTTTTTTTTAGCACTGTGGTCTTGTAGTAGATGCGAGCCTCAACTGGAAGCCAGTGGAGTGTGCGGAGGAGCGGGGTGACATGAGACAACTTGAGAAGGTTGAACACCAGATGGGCTGCAGCGTTCTGGATAAGTTGTAGGGGTTTAATGGCACAGGCAGGGAGCCCAGCCAACAGCGAGTTGCAGTAATCCAGACGGGCGATGACAAGTGCCTGGATTAGGACCTGTGCCGCTTTCTGTGTAAGGCAGGGTCGTACTCTGCGACTGTTGTAGAGCATGAACGTGCAGGATCGGGTCACCGCTTTGATGTTAGCGGAGAACGAAAGGGTGTTGTCCAGGGTCAAGCCAAGGTTCTTTGCACTCTGAGAGGAGGACACAATGGAGTTGTCAACCGTGATGGCGAGATCATGGAGTGGGCAGTCCTTCCCCGGGAGGAAGAGCAGCTCCGTCTTGCCGAGGTTCAGCTTGAGGTGGTGATCCGACATCCACACTGATATGTCTGCCAGACATGCAGAGATGCGATTCACCACCTGGTTATCAGAAGGCAAAGGAGAAAATTAATTGTGTGTCGTCTGCGTAGCAATGCTAGGAGAGACCATGTGAGGATATGAACTCCCGAGTGGCGCAGTGGTCTAAGGCACTGCATCGCAGTGCTAGCTGTGCCACTAGAGATCCTGGTTAGAATCCAGGCTCTGTCGTAGCCGGCCGTGACCGGGAGACCCATGGGGCGGTGCACAATTGGCCCAGCGTCGTCCAGTTAGTGGAGGGAATGGCCGGCAGGGATGTAGCTCAGTTGGTAGAGCATGGCGTTTGCAACGCCAGGGTTGTGGGTTCGATTCCCACGGGGGGCTAGTATGAAATAAATAAAAATAATAATAATAATGTATGCACTCACTAACTGTAAGTCGCTCTGGATAAGAGCGTCTGCTAAATGACTAAAATGTAAATGTAAATATGACAGAGCCAAGTGACTTGGTGTATAGGAGAGGGCCTAGAATAAGAGAGGGCCTAGAACTGAGCCCTGGGGGACACCAGTGGTGAGAGCACGTGATGCGGAGACAGATTCTCGCCACGCCACCTGGTAGGAGCGACCTGTCAGGTAGCACGCAATCTAAGGAATTCAGGGCTTGTAAAATTATACATAGGCTAAATATAAACCTTCCACAACCATGTAAATAATTACATTATTTTATCAAAAGTTTAACCTGCCCTTTTGCAATGATCTGGCTGTCATGTCAGTCTATGAAAATGCCCTTTTTTGTTAGAAATTTTACCAGAACCATACACAGTGCACATCCACTAATAATGACCAATTTCTTGTAGCAGGTGAATGCATTATAGAAAATCAACACAGGTCTCATAAACAATCTCTCAAGCCCACTTATTAGTGAGAAGCCAGCTAATATTTATATTTCAAGTCTAGCCAACTTGGATCTATTTGTTAGCTAATAAGGTAGAACAGTTGAACTGTTATGAACACACACTTCTGTCCACATGTTTGAACAGCATGCTAGCCTGTCCGCATTGTTTAGATGTTGAAATCAAGTGGCCTACCTGGATAAGATGCTTATTTCTCAGAATGAGAACGAGTTGACAATTCCTTATATAAATGCCACTTTATGCACATTGCAAATGTATAAAACGCAGACTAGACAGCTAGCGCAACACTCTGTGGCTAAAATGCTGCTAGCGGTACCGCAATGCCATACGCGACAAACTGAGCATTAATGTTAATTGATACTCCCATTTTAGTAGGGTCTGCTCTGTGCTCAATTTTGAGAATTGAGAGACAAAAATTGTACGTTTTCCTCTATTACAGTAAAATAATGTCTGGAAGTGTTTCGGTGTCCATATGACCGATTCTGTTGGACCAAACCTCAAATGCAAATAGTGAGTTGAAACTGCTTGTCAGAGAGGGACAATGATCTTTCATCCTTGTTGTTGTGAGTGGCAGGGGGTGGGACTTGGTGTGTGTGGGAACTGGGAAGGTGCATAGCACAGAAGGAGCAAAGGAGACTAGACCAAAAAGGCATGAGAACAAGCTGACAAACTGTCATCAAAACGAAATAATAAAAAACGTGACACTTGCGGTACAGGCATTTGGAATTTCAAGCTAAAACATTAATTTGATATGTTGCCCAGCCCTACTTGTAACATTAGTGTTGTTTTGTTGCCCATTTGAAAACGATATGAAACGTTAACCTTCCGTTTCTTGTGTGTGTGTTTGAGTAAAGCCCTGAGGGATAGGCGTCAGCTGGTGGGTGAGGGGAGAAGGCACTGTCGGGGGGCCTGATGACCAGCAACCTCCAGGAGCCCCTTCATGGCTGGCAGGGCAAACCAGCACCATGCACCGGAGCCATCAAACCCCAGGCCATCAAAGTGGAAGAGGGCAAGGCATAGCAACGGACCTTAAACCTCCTTTTAACCTTCACGAAGCCTGCTTCTGAAAGACACAACCCCCTGCCTCCTCCCTCGGCCCACCTCTCAGCCTTCTATCACGAACTCCCAGAACCGGACACCAACTTTCAGAACCGGACACTATTATTATTATTATTATTATTATTATTATTATTAAACACCACATATAGAGATATAAATATATATAAATATATACATAGACACAATAGTTTGGGACACTCTTCTAAGCAGACTCTTCAATGTCCTCTTTATTTATTAACGTTCATGTCCTTTTTGAGAGAAGAATAATGGTAACAAAAAAAAATATTTAAAAAATCACGTTTTCTGTGTTGCTCGCCAGTTACTCGCCATCAAAGTCCGAAAAAGGAAACGGCCATCTCCTGCAGGTAGTTCACTTTCGTAGTTCACCCCTTTTTTGACAAACTGAACTTACCTTTTTGGACTGTAGCCTTGTAGATGAGGCAGGCACTTGACATGTCACTAAAAGAAAGCAAATCTGTATGCGTTGAAAAAAAAATAATTGCAGAGCGGCACATTTTGTTTTTTTCCCCCCAACTTTCACATTTTTCGCAGGTAACCGTGGAGTTTTAATATTTTTTTTTGTCACCATTGCCTATTTGCTCTATTAAAGGACTCCTTTTATTCAATAAAAAAATTCCTTCAAACCCAGATTTGAGGACATTGTGTGTAGACGTGGAAAGGTGTGACCCGGGGTGTGTCGCCCTCCCAGGGTACTTCACACAGCTCGTGAACTGTGACAAAACTGCTTAGATTGTTAGAAAATGTTTCCGTTATTTTTAAAAGGCCGTTTTTTGCTTTTATGTCACTCTCTGGCCTTTATGGATTTCCTATTTTAGAGAAATCATGTTGCCTCATTTGAAGCTTCCCTGGCATTGATGCAGTGTGTGCATGTGATGTACTGAACGTGTGTTAACTGCAGGGCCTGATCCAGGACCCTGTCACAAAATTTCAAAAGGCTCTGAAGTCAGTGGACATGTGCCGCCGCAGTGTGTGTGTGTGGTTTTGATCAACCATGCTGGCAAAAAATGTGGGGTTATTCTTTAGTGTTGGGGAGTGAGGGCGGGCTTCATTGACTTACTGTACGATCCCAATAGCTGATTCAAATGATTATATCACTATCCTTTTCATTGTAATGCGTTGTTGAAGTCTGAATTCACATCTGATACATGTCAAGTGATTTTATATCGCTCTCCTGGAGTGTTTTTGCTTTTGCTCCTAGCGCTATTATAAACACATCTGTATAATTTTTTTCAACACAACTCGATGGAAAGGTCGGCGGGGTTAGTGAAGAAATGAGTAGGCACACCTCCCTAGTGAACATTTAGCACCATGTAAGGTCTCCGGGTAATAAATGCAGCTTAACTGTAACTCTCAATCTCAATCAGGGTCCAAATATGTTACAATTTGATGGAGGGGGTTTAGAGTTTAGAGATGCTTGATGAATTTGTATTATCTTAGCAGACATATTTTTTGTGAACGCTGCAGTTGCTTTGGGCTCTCAGAAGGAATATTAAAGCATTTCTGTTTTGTTAGAAAAAAAGTGAACTGTTGGCATCGCATCATGTGTTGTTTTTTTTTGGGGGGGTCACTAATTTTGAAAGTCATATTTACTATTACAATGTCATAACTGCTTAGAAATGTTCATGCTTATTATAATGCTCCATGACACTACAAAATGTTCACTCATCTTTATGTTGCTGTCTGTACATGATGCATACCTGTTCAATTATATTCCGAGTTGTGGTCAGTCAGGGAGGGTGGGAGTCTAAAAACCATATGTTTGATTTATATATTGTATCACTAATAAAAGGATAAATGTTTAAAAGGTCACTGATGTTCTCACAGGGTGGACTGCTTTAACTTGTGAATTGGCTTATTGGACGTTGTGATGGCTTCCCTGCTTTTTGCTGTGACCCTGTCAGTTTTTGGACAGGGACTGGAAGGTGGACACTGAAACCTCTTATACACACCTGAGAAACTGCATTTGGTTTCTGCCTGCGCTCGACTTCTATTACTGTACCTACACCAAGATATCACCATGATACTTATTTTTTTTGTACTTTTAAGATTCAAATGTCAGTTTTTGTCAGAGGACCAGTGCACTCGAACTGATCCAACAGTCTATTTATCCTTCCTGATGTTTATCCTTTCAGATATATGATCATATTCGCCCTTTTCATTGTTAAGAGCTTATTGAGAGAAAATAAAGCGGTTGTGCTTTTTCCAAACCGTTGTCTTTGTTGAATTTCTATTGTGTTCAAGGCTGTCAGTTGGATGAGCAAGGTGTGTATGTATGTATATATATATATATATATATATATATTCAAGAAATAAAACGTATGTATTGAACCCGGCAACATTAGCAATACAAACGGGTTATCGTACCATACTTGGTAGGCCTATCGTATCAAATGAACCGACAGGTGGTGGTGGTTTTCACCTGGGGGAAAATAAGCCAAGTGAATGTCATGACGTCAGAAGTGTCGAATTCCACACATTTTTGTCAGACAAAGGGGGCTTGCTACACTGCAGAGAATTGTTAAGCACTTGCACTCTAAACAGGATATCTTGACGGAATAAATCAAGTAGAAGGTAAACAAACATTTTTACTCGAACTTTGGACGTCAAGTTCTAGATACATGAGGTGGTCTTGGAAGTTTTGTCAATTGATGTCTTGTCGGTACGTTTGAAAACTTTTGTCGTGCAACGCATCTCGCAAAGTACGTAAGTAGGCTACCTTAGTTGCTTGTACAAAGTGTACTGAATGACTGAAATATAATGGGGTATTTTTATATTTAATGTGGAATAAAGATGAATGTCGCCATGTTTTAAAACACTCGCGAATTTCGAACACTTGAACGTGGCAGTCGGCCCTTACTTAATCATCCAGGGATAATGTATCCCGAATTCCGGCAGATGACGATATTGAGTCATTTAATCTTACAGTCCAAAGAGCATGCATGCAGCCGGCTGTACACTCTTATCCCCCGTGGACGAGTTCGTACATAAAACATTAAAGCTGCTAAGGCGTCGGATTCCTCCTTAACTAGATTTAATGGCGAGAAGGAAGGGAAAATATGCATACTTTCTTAATGCAACACCATTTTCCACCACCATGCTAGAGTGGCTAATGCTACTTCCTAAAGCCAGGGCAAAGATATGGATATAATGATTAGATACTTACTGTATGTCTCCGTCCTAACAGTGGGCTGTCAAGCTCCCGCCCTCTCTTTGGATTGGTGTATACATCTCATTTATTTGAATATAAAAAATATATTCGAAGAGGGGTGTTGACGTTAACCGGCTGTATTCAATGGAGAGTTAGATGCTATGCTAGCCTCAAATATACATAGACTGTCTTGAATTTCAACAGGGACAACTGCGATATAAAGTGTTTTTTCACGTGCATCACACTTATATCACTCATAACAACCTAAGCATTACAAAACTTGTATTAAATCAAATAAGCCTCACGTATCCAAATAGAAATTCATGTTTATCTTGACTCAATTCGACACTGTCTCATTGCCCCCATACAAAAACTCCTCAATTGCTTAATAATTAGGGATCTGCCTAACATGGGCAGCTCGCTTTGCCTCCCTCTCTCTGGCCAGGGCAGGGGTAAACAACAGACTGCTGCAACCTGATCGGCTGAACGCAATATGCAACCTGGACTAGCATTCCTAGACATTAGCAACTCTAGCATGGTGGTGGAAAATGGTGTTTCATAAAGAAAGTACGCATATTTTCCTTCTTGCCATTAAATCGAGTTAAGGAGGAAACCGACGCTTTGCAGCCTGAATGGAGAAGGTGTATGTACGAACCGGTCAACGGGGGATAGGAGTGTATAGCCGGCTGCATACATGCCCTTTAGATGGTAAGATGAAACGACACAATATCGGCATCTGCCGGCCTTTGGGCTAGGGAGAATTATTTTAGGGAGCATGAAGTCGAGTGTCTTCACTAGGAACCAAACGGGGGGGACTAACTTGAACTTCCAATAATAAATGCACATTTTCATTGCAAAACGTTTTGTTATGGTGGAGTAATGATTACACAACCATGGCTTCTAGTGCTCATGTAGCGAATGGAGGGAAGCCAGACGGGGGCAGAGTAATAAGGGCAAGCATTCCTGTGTCATAAAGGTCCAGACATCTTGGCAGATATAGTGCCCAACTCTTGAGAAGCTGGAGTAGGGGGGTTTGGGAAACCCTGGAGCAAATTCTTGAAATAATAGCCTATCTAATAGGCCCAATTAAATGAGTGATGTACATGGTAATTTGTTGTATGCTAAAGCTTCTTTGGGAATATAAACTCATCATGGCCAGAAAAGGTGGTGAAGATTTATTGGAAAATGGTTATTTAAATATGTATTATGTTTATTTGAAACATTTGAAATTACAGTAGACTATTCAGGCGTACAGTAGCCGGATCGCATAGAGCAAAATAGTTGATCATTAAGTTTGCCGACGACACAACAGTGGTAGGCCTGATCACCGACAATGATGAGACAGCCTATAGGGAGGAGGTCAGAGACCTGGCCATGTGGTGCCAGGATAACAACCTCTCCCTCAACCTGACCAAGACAAAGGAGATGATTGTGGACTACAGGAAAAAAAAAGAGTACTGAGCACGCCCCCATTGTCATCTATGGGACTGTAGTGGAACAGGTTGAGAGCTTCAAGTTCCTTGGTGTCCACATCACCAACAAACTATCATGGTCCAAACACACCAAGACAGTCATGAAAAGGGCACGACAAAGCCTATTCCCCCTCAGGAGACTGAAAAGATTTGGCATGGGTCCTCAGATCCTCAAAAAGTTCTACAGCTGCACCATCGAGAGCATCCTGACTGGTTGCATCACCACCTGGTATGGCAACTGCTCGGCCTCCGACCGCAAGGCACTACAGAGGGTAGTGCGTACGGCCCAGTACATCACTGGGGCCAAGCTTTCTGCCATCCAGGACCTCTATACCAGGCGGTGTCAGAGGAAGGCCCTCAAAATTGTCAAAGACTCCAGCCACCCTAGTCATAGACTGTTCTCTCTGCTACCGCACGGCAAGCGGTACCGGAGTGCCAAGTCTAGGTCCAAAATACTTCTCAACAGTTTCTACCCCCAAGCC